TATAACTTGGTTGATGTTAAATGTTGAATAACGCCCATGTTTTCGAAAATGAGTTCGAAAAATTTATTCTGGTTTTTGGAAAGGCCGGAATTTCTTTAAAATCAAAGTGGGGTGTTACAGTTTGGTATCAGAGCCAGTTTGTGTTTCTGTAGACTGGTTTACATGTGATTATGTTTAGACCTTGAAATGTGACCACTCGTCTCCGTCACTCCACGCTGCTTAAGGTATGTTTTTGTTTAAAGTATTAATGAAAATACTTGATATGTAAATGATGCACATGTAGCAATGAAACCACTTGTGATGAACTTGTGATTTGGGGCTTAGGATCTATCCACCTTGATTTAATCGAACTCTAGTGGTTATTGGTGAACTCTAAACTTCTGCAATATCGATTATTTTGTTGGTTTTTGTGCTAAACCTTGTTCGGCTTATTCAATGTAGAATTATGAATACCCGCAACAACTGTAACCGTCAGCCATCCCCGTCTCCTTCTCCGCCTCGTCATCATCACCAGGCCCCTCTGGCCATGGATCTTACTCAGCTCATAGTCCAGTTTCAGAGGATGAATGCACCAACCTTCGCGGGGAAGGAGAACCCCATAGCAGTGCTGGAGTGGATCATAGAACTAGATAAGATCTTCGTTGTACTTCCTCTCCCTGACCGTTAGCGGGTATCCCTCGCAGCTTATCAGATGAAGGAGGACGCTTCTGACTTGTGGATTGACCACTGGGCCCGGAGGCCATAGGCGGAGCTTCATGCTCTCACTTGGGAGCAGATGAAGATGATGGTGCGTGCTAAGTTCCTTCCCCAGAGCTTTTGGGATAGGATGGAGCATGAGTTCTACCATTTGCAGCAGGGCAGCTCCTCTGTGGACAAGTATATTCTTACTTTTACCCGGATGTGTCTTTTTGCGGGTGACTCGGTGAACACCGATGCCAAGAAGGCCCACAAGTTTCTCAAGGGGCTCAATCAGAGGATCCGTGAACTGGTGGGAACTCACGGACTGATGTCTTTCACCGACACTGTGAGTCGGGCTCAGGAGGTGGAGAGCTGTCTCATCCCGATAGCTCCG